TGAAATTAAAGAAGCGAAAGAATTTGTGCGCGCAGTGCGTAAATATGCCTGCCAAGGTCTCTAAGAAGGTCGTGGGCATGATCATACGAAGCCGAAAGTCCATTATGAAGGATGGAGTTATTACGGTATTACAGAATTTTTTACAAATATTATCCTTTAACTTCATAACAGCTAAAACTAGCGTTCTTTCTCTCTCTGCCCCACCCTCTCTCTCTCTCTCCCCCCTCCCCCTCTCTCTCTCTCTCTCTCTTTTCACACACACTCGCTCACTTATTCATTCTCTGCGATCACGATGAGCGAATCCGTCAAATTGTCTTATCTCGTTTTTATTATCCTCATGTACATAATATGATGGATATTAAAGAAATAAGAAACTCTTTACTGTGTGCAAACTTACTCTTATGTAAGTTAAAAATATTTGAACAAAAAATATGATCAGCCAGACCTATAGGCAGTAGTTAAAGAATGATATTTATGTTTGAAATATATATATATATATATATATATATATATTATATGAGTTATATAGAGAGCATGAGAATATTAATATCTACAGAAATTTTAATTATTTTATAAAAATTTATGTATACTATATATTACAAATAATTATGGAGAGAGGCTTCATCATTAATTTGACCAAAACTTCACAATTATGCTGCGTAAAACATGAATCTATAAATGAAAATTGTTGCTCTTAATTAGAAAAATGTTATTAAGTACTTTTAATATAACAATTATCACTATTCTCTGCTTTAAAAAATAAATTTTATTTCTATCCTTTTCTAATCATTTAATTTATTATATTACATATTTAATACAATAAAACTGCATATTCATCAAAGAAAACAATAAGTTGTGTTTTTTGTTAAAACAGAGAATGATATACATATATTATATATATATTGAACAGTGCGTCATATCGGTGTATGGCATATCCTAACCACACAACTGCCAACTTTAGTACTTAATAACTTTTTTGCTAATTAAATGTGGCAATTTTAACTTATATATTCATGTTTTTACACACTAAAATATACAAAATTGTCAAGTATTAGTCAAATTGATGATAAAACCCCTCTCCATCAAAATAACTATATTATATTATTTGTAAAAACATGTATGTGTGTGAATTAGATTTGAAAACAAGTATTTGTATATTTAAAATGTCTCAAATTTTTATTTTATTTGCATACATACATGTGATTTTACATATATTCTCTAACTTGCGCATTTTATCTTTCCCTGTTTTCACAGAGCAAGATATACAATAATACATCATTAGAAAAAAGAGATCAATAGTTGTATAATTCTTTTTAAATTGTATTTTAATTATGATATACTATCAGTTAATTAGTATATTTTTGTGAATTTTATAAAATCATAAAAGAAATATCAATGAAAAATTAAAGGAAAAATCACAAAGTGAGTAAAGTAATTTTTTACTTGGTTGTTATAATTTATACACATGTGTGTCTGTGTGTATGTATTTTTACATTTAGAATCTTTCTTTTTATAATCAGTATTATAGTTCCACAAGCTATTTATTTGTACTATATGTTCAGAAATCAATGCTAATTGAATTGCTTGAGATAAATTTTATTTTTACTATAAAACAGATTATAATCTCATTCAGTAATCTATCCTATATGGGAAAGAACGTAATTCTCCTTGTTTTTTTCTTAGTACATAAGATTTTTAAATTATTTGTTATAATTTTGACAAAGTTCTGAAAAAAAATGTTGAAGAATTCTAAAAAAATATTTTTATAATTGAAAAGCAAAACAATATCTGAAGTAGGAAAGCATGCAGAAAAATTTTAGCATTATTTCAACTTTAAAATATATTAATGTATAATTATAATTTTAAATTTAAATAAAGTTATTGATTCTAAATTCAATTATTATAACATCTAACAATCTTTATAAAATGAATGCTTAAAATAAATGCTACAATTTGTAATTATTAGCATGAATAATCTTAGTACAATTATTGTCAAATAGTTGATAAAACTTTTTAATATAATTATTAATATAATTATTATGAAAATCATTACACAAAAACATTACATTAATAAAATTGTATAATTATTATTCAAACATTCTTAAATCTAAAATTTTACAAAGAAATTTGATATAGCATACATCAAATATACATGAAACGTGCAACATAATTTATAATTATAAAATTCTATTTTAATAAAAGATGTATGTATGCGTTTTGCAAAATCGCTTTTCCGATAGGAAAATGGCCCAAATATTGTAGAATAATTGCGTCACGTATAAAAAAAGGAATTTCACAATGATTGCATTAAGATACTTTGCTATAGTGCTGTGGTTTTGTCAGAATAAAATTTCTAAATATTTTGCCTAAAAATTGATTTATTCAATTTAGGGTATAAATTGCAGAATTATTGTACTATATATATATATATATATATATATATATTGCTTCATGGTAACACTCAACTATATATTTCACAAATGACGCTAACAAAATTAAATGACAGCTATACAAAATTCTGTCTCATCCAGCATATTCACCGGATCTTTCGCCAACTGACTAACACTTATTTAAACATCTTGACAGCTTCTGGTAGGAAAAAATCTTTAATAATCAAGCGGTAACTAAAACCGCCTTCAAAGAATTCATTAATTTTCAAATTTCAGAATTTTTGTTATTGGAATAAACAAATATATTTCTTGTTGGCAAAAGTATAAAGATTATAATAGTTCTTATTTCGATTAAAAAAGTTTATTCTGAGTTGAGATATACATGTGTCCCAGAAAATTGCTGAAACTAATCAAGTGTCATTTTTAATACATGCATTTATTGAAAAAACAAAAATTGTATTGGAAAGAGGAAAGTCTGCAGTTTTTAATGGATATAAATGTTTGTATATTAGTTTATTTTATTGAAAAAAAGTAATGAAAAAAGTGCTAATAATCACATCAAATCACATAAATAATAATAAATATTTGCAACAGTGCCAGATTTAATAGCAGCTATTAAAAGGATCGTCAATAATATGAATGAAATACATGTTATGAATTCTTAGATTCATAATTCTGTAATCAAGATATATGAGACTATACAGATTGATAAATTTTTTTCCTGTACAAATTAAAGTATTAATATTAATAAAGGGCGAAGCGTTCTAATTTTAAGTTTAAAAACAATCCGTATAGCCAATAAATAAATTTATAGTTTATCTAATCTCATATTTTGTCGATAAAAAGGAAAAATCAACAGACTTTTCAAGGACGTTTAGGATCCCCTTAAAAGGATTATCAATAACATTAAAAGGATGCTGCCGTTGTTCTGTTTTATCGACTTTAAGTTAGGTTAGGTTCACTTTTTATTGAATATACAGATTGAAAAATCCTCCACAATGAAAGTATTGATAATAATGAATAAAGAGCGCTGTCCGGAAACTAATTTTTGCTGTTTTATGCCTCGACATCGATTCCGCATGCAAATATACATGCATAATTAATTCAAATACAAATCTTTTGATACAGGCTTTTGAGGCTATTCCTCTCGATTTCTGTTTTGTCGACGCAGTCGTATATTTTCGTACTTTTAGTACATCTTTTTTGATTTGATAGAATTAAAAATGCTTCTCTACGATTGCAATACGATTGCATCAATAATCCCAGAGAAACTCGATTTGATATAAAAAATGAGAAATAACAGTTTTTCTTATCTATTTTCATTTTGATATGACATCTCGAATTGCAGACAAACTGTCAATCTCATCATAATATGTGCTTTATATAAAACATATGCACTTTGTACGAATAAAAATGCATATTCTCTAGGATTAGAGGACACGAAAGAAACTGTTATTATCTAAATCTAGATTAGAAGTCTAATAAAATGTATAATTAGAAATACAATTCGTATGTGTGCGTGTATATGTTTTGGATACGTGCATATGTTTTGGATATGTGTGCTGCTTTTTGTCGGAGTTCGTCGTTTACTACAGAACTTTTGTATTAAATAAGTATTGTTATGAGCTGATTGTGAGCTGATGTAAGAGGCCGATAAAAAAACTGTAATTTTTTAATTTTAATTTTTTTTTATACGAAATTACAGCGCATCCCGTTCATTATTATCAGTATTTTAATTGTGGAGAAGAATTTTTCAATCTATATAGCCAATAAAAAGAAAAGCCCTTGAACTCAAAGTCGATAAAGCAGTCATGATCAGGCATCTCCTTAAAAATGACAGGTTAGAAAAAGTTTTTATGAGTTTTCGTAAAAGAACAGAAATTTGTACAAATTCAAATAGTGCGTACTTAAAAATATTTATTATTAGTTTACTTATATATTATTAGCACTTTTTCTATTACTTTTTTTCAATAAAATTAATTTATATACAAATATTTTGTTCATATCACACAAGTTTTGTTTTCCCAATATACGGCATGCATTAAAAAATGACAGCTGATTAGTTTTAACAATTTTCTCTGGGACATCCTGTATTTGAAATTAAAGATTAAAACCTGACATTTTTGTACCAAATATTTTGGCACCTAATATTTTCCTGTCGGGGTTTAACATAATTATTGCAAAATATCTTATGTATGAGATTATACACTTTCATACATAACATAGTATATTACTTTTTTAGTGCCGTATATTTGTAAGAATAAGCGCGCGCGCGAGTGTATGTGTGTGTATGCGTGCATGCGTGTGTGTGCGTACGAAAAGCGCCATACAAAAGCGGCCAAGTGTCGTGCGCATCGATCAATTTTTTCACACGATGTATCTTCAATAATCCGTTAGAATAAAATTCGCGGAGAATGAAAATTTATCGTGGCAAAATATAACGAGCTTAAAAATATTTTTTCCTTTTTTCGGAAAATCACGAAAAAACTCCGAAAACTTACGCGAACGATCGTCAGCTGTTGACCAGTCGGTCATTGGTTAGGTTAGGCCGAGAGTTAGCTCGAAGAGGCTATAGGCAGAAGAGCTCGGAGGAGGGGAGGGGGGAGGGTACAAAAGGGGGGGGGGATCAGTATAGGAGCAGTTGCAATGCGGAGGTTTGATTTTTCAGTTTAGCGCTTGTCAGTTGTCAGTCTCGACGTTGAATATAAACGTGAAGGAGAAATAAGCACAAGATAAGCTTTCAACGTTTCATCAATTTTCTCATCGTCGAATTTCTCGCGTGTCGTGGAATTCTGGTGACGTCACAGCCTGGCCGCGACTCCGTCAAGGCCGCGCGAGAGAATCCCACTCTGGGATTCACTTTTAATGGACTCGGAAGAGGGATGCTCCTACGGTTTTTTTTAACGCGTCTCTCCGTTTCGCGTAAAAATCGTAGCGGGAGAGGAGAAAACAAAACAGGATGCGTAGAGAGAAAAGAAGAAATATATACTGCTCCGCTAAACCCTAAAATTTATATCTAGCCTGTGCATATGTGTGAATTTACCTTGCAAAATTCGCTTTCCTGTACGAAATTCTCGCGACTTTTGCCAAGAAACCAGGATGATGACGTGCACCGATTTTGGCATCGTATATCAAATAAATAGAAAAATATATTGAGCAGAGTTAATTATATCATGTGATCGGAGAGAAACGAGAGAGATCCTAGAGATATTTCTGACATATACACGCTTATGAAAGCATGCCGTGTGTCGAGATTATCGTTGAACAGGTTTTACGAGGACGCGACAGAAGGATATGTCAGCGTGAGCTTTATACTGCCACAACAGAATTCAAACATTGATAATTAATTGTGGGGAAGTTAAGAATCACACATTCTTATATTCTTATAAATATAATTTTTAAATCATAAGAAAAGAAAAGAACACACACACATACATGACAACAGTGACTTATTGTGTATCTATCTTGTGATTGATTGATATTTTTTATTAAAAAAAAAATATATATATATATATAGAAAATATTTGCAGAAGTAATATATAAATTCAGAAAGATATATAAAAAGAGCTGACAACTGATGAAAAAAAATCAGAATTTCTATGTAAATAGACATTATTGATTTCCATGTATGAAAAAAATATATATAATATATATATATATATATATATATATATATATATGTATACCCAGCATAATGATCTCATTTGTAATGCAAATGTAATATGTCAGTAAAATGTAACAATAATGATGACAGAGTAGTTGAAAAAGTTATTTGCAAAATAATTAAGCTAAAGGATAGCAAAGTACATATGTATTTCAATTACGGTGCAATATTTTGGAATATTACCTTAAAATAGTTATGAAAAATCAATGTAATCGACAATTGAAGCAAAATAAACTAAGAATAATATTGAAGAACAAAAATTAAAATTTAACATAAACTGATATGTGGAAACATTACATTGATCTTACGTTAAGAGAAGATTGTCTATTTCTGTATCACATGAGTGGAAAATGACAAAAATGTCAATTAAAATGTGAATATGAGAAGAAATATATATAGTAACATCTCTTAGGGGTCATGCCCCCTGGGGCAAACGGCGGAACAGAGGGCTTGGGCCCATCCTGTTCTGAGATACATAATAGTCAGGATCATGCTATAGCTAAACTTACACCTCCCGTTACATTTGTTCAACAATGCTACAGACATCTCAAGGTCAGCTGCTAAAGATATAAATGTCACTTGTGACACTTGCAGAAGGCCATTCCTTATATCTATTTATATAAATTTATTATGATTATGTTTATAATTTTGTCTCAATTTATTTGTAATATGCTATTGTATTGTTATTTCTTTTTTTTTTTTTTTTTTTCAGAGTTCCGGTGTTGGCGAGGCGAGCGTGTATCATGCATTAGTTGTAATATTTTTGGAATTCTTTGCATGGGGATTATTGACCATGCCTATTATTTCGGTATTGAATGAAACATTTCCGGATCACACGTTCCTGATGAATGGTCTGATAATGGGAATCAAAGGAATCCTATCTTTTCTTTCTGCGCCACTGATTGGTGCCCTTTCTGACGTATGGGGTCGAAAATTCTTTCTACTTATCACAGTGGCCTTCACATGTGCGCCGATTCCCCTAATGAGTATCAATACATGGTGGTTCTTTGCCATGATTTCTATCAGTGGCGTATTTGCTTGCACATTTTCAGTGGTATTTGCATATGTCGCAGATGTAACAGAAGAGAATCAAAGATCGCTAGCATATGGTTTGGTATGTGTTCACCTTTTTACATCATGATTATGAATAACAATATAATGTAATTGAATATCATAATTTTATATGAAAATTAATCATCTAATTTATAAAATAAATTGTGTGTGTATATATATATATATATATATATATTTCTTATCTCAGGTATCTGCAACTTTTGCTGCAAGTATGGTGATAAGTCCAGCTTTGGGTGCTTATACTATGACAACATATGGAGAAAATCTTGCCGTAGCATTAGCAACTGCTATTGCAGTCTTGGATGTGTTTTTCATATTAGTGGCTGTACCTGAAAGTTTGCCTGAAAAAACACGTCCACCAGCACCTATATCATGGGAGCAAGCTGATCCATTTGCTGCTCTTGGAAAGGTAAAAACTTTTAGACATATTTTGTGTGTTACATCATTTATAAAACTTATCAGCAGATTTATATATATATATATATATAATTAAAAAAAAAAGAATGTAACATATGTGACATAAATATAGAATAAGAATATAAGTTTATAAATATAGATGATGGTTATAGATATTTGTTTGACACAGGTTGGAAAAGATCATACCATTCTAATGCTGTGCGTAACTGTGTTCCTGAGCTATCTTCCTGAAGCAGGACAGTATAGTTGTATATTTGTTTATTTAAAACTGGCTATGGGCTTCTCCGGTTTTATGGTGGCTATATTTATTGCTGTAGTAGGCATCCTGAGTGTGGGAGCACAGATTATATTAGGACCTTTAATGAGAACACTCGGTAGCAAACATACTATAATGCTTGGTTTGTTATTTGAGATGTTGCAGCTAATGTGGTATGGATTTGGCTCGCAAACATGGTAATTTTCTATTTATACACATACACAAGATGTTTTAAAAATCTAGAAACGGTCAAATCTCATTCACAATATATTTTAGAAAAAATGTTTCATGAAAATTGTAAGATTAAAAATATTTATTCATGGATCTTATTACTTTGACTGTTGTCAAGGTCAGAGTAAGATTATCTTGAATTTTTTAAATGAAAAACCTTTTTTTTTTTTTTAGATTTTTTGCAATATTATGTATAGAAAGTTATATATTCATATATGTATAACTTGGGATTGAAAAAAACATATGTAGAGCATATTATCAGATTCTGTGGCCAATTTGAAAATTTATTTTTCATAAATAAAAATGTCGAAAAAGATCATTTTTTACATGTTCCCAATTTTTACCATCTTATATCTTTGTAACTAAGCTTTAAATTAAAATTCTATTAAAGTAAATTACCTGAAATTAACTGAAGAATGTAGTTTTCATAATATTTTAACTCTATAATGTTTAGTTTGTGAAAGGCTATTCTTTTTCAATCATTGATAACTTGAAAATTATTAGTGCTTTGACATTTTCAAATGAAGAAAAATAGACTAAATAGAAAATTTGATGGTGTGCTCGGTATGTTTGTTTAGTTGCATCTTGTATATATTTAAAATTATTTATTTACATATGTATATTACTTATTTGCTGTAATAATAACATAATTAAAAATTAAAAATAAAATTTAAAAATAAAAATATATATTTAAAAATAAAAATTTTTGAGTTATTAGTACAGTGAGAAAAATTGTTACATGTACTATTATTAAATGTGTCGTGCCTCCTAAAAAATCACAATTTTTTAGTTGTCATTGTTGTAGCAAATGAGCGATATACATATATGTATACACCAGTATACATATATTGTATAATATATTACTCAATAATTAATTATAATTTGTTAGATAATTGGTAATGATAATTTTTTGATATTTTAATTCTTAAATAATTTAAGTATACAATATATATCAAAATTTAGGAAACTGTTCATCTACTACTTTTCGTTCAACGTCTATCTCTTTCATATCAAAATATATCTAGAATAAGCGTATTTGTTATAGCTTATTGAATATTAATTGTTTTAAGGATGATGTGGGCTGCTGGAGTTCTTGCCTCTGTATCAAGCATAACGTACCCCGCAATTTCCGCATTCGTATCCATGCATTCCGATGCTGATAAGCAAGGATTAGTACAAGGCATGGTAACAGGGATGCGTGGTCTCTGCAATGGACTTGGTCCTGCTATGTTTGGTGTCATATTCTATCTTTTTCACGTTGATCTTAACGATGACACGCCAAATCTTCCATTGAAACCATCATTTGTGGATGAAAACAATAGGACGGGAACTAGTACGCATCTTGACATAATGCCTCAGGTACATACATTATATCTACAGGTAAGCATAGTTTGTTTTAATCTTGTTTCTTTACAAGTTTTTTATATATGTGTTTACATATGCATATGTTTTATTACTTATAAACTTATTAAAAGAAAAAAATATTATGTATTATACATGTGCGTGTGTGTGTGCGCGCGCGCGTGCAAATATTGTTTAAGCAAACTGTAGAGCATTGATTAAATGATACTTGCAGCTTGTACCGGGGCCGCCATTCGTGTTTGGTGCATTACTTGTGATCTGCGCGCTGTTAGTAGCTGCGTTTATTCCCGAATCAAATACCATGTCAACGGGATCATTGCATCATCCATCCACATCCCGGAGGCCCTCCGGTAAATACGCATATCAGAAATGTACGTTAAAGGTTGTCAAATATGCCAAATATATTTACGGTGACGGGATTCAGTGAGAAAGTCTTTTGCAAATGTAGTTTTTATCGATCATTTTGCACAATAGAGAAAATATTAGGAATAAATACTAAATATTAAGAATAAGAATTACTTTAAAACAATAATATTAAAAAGATTGTAATATAAAAAACCAATTCAGATATAAAAGGCTAATTAATTACTAAGAGCCCTTTATACCTGAATTTGTATTTATATATCAGTTTTTTCGATTTTTTACTTTAAATAATTTCTATTCTTAATATTTAATTCTACTATTTCCTCTATTATACATTAAGATTTTTCTATACAAAATATCAAAATTTAATATTTTCTCTTATCATGTATCCTAGCAGACATCCTGATGTCAATAATGGAAGGAAGGGTTTTGGCAAAATTATTTGATATTTTTCTTACGCTTAGCTTTTTACTCTAGGATCAACAATGATAAAACTTCTAATTTTTACTTTTTTTACAATTTGTATAATTTTAAAAAATTTTTTATATACTTTTTGCCCTCGAGCTCTTTTTAACTGTTTCACCTAAAACATCGTTAATAGAGGACATTAAATTATGAAATCAGTATAACTATTTTTTTTATTTGGAAAGAAGGGGTTTTAACCCCAAACTATTCCCCTTCTAGGATCCGCTATCATATTATGCAATCTAAACTTGAAGATATTTTGTATTTTTAGGTTTATCCTTGGATGTTCAGTATGAAACAGACCGAACGGGAAGTGGAAGAGGAAAGATAGGTCCGTTATCACCACTAGTCGACAATTGTAATTCTGCCGCGCTATAGTGTCTATTGAAGGAAAAGTAAAGCAAAAGCCATAGCATCTGATAAGAATGTTATAGCTGAGCGATAAACCTCGAGCTTTAAGCAAGAAAAAAAGTCATTGCTCTATGAAGTGCATCTGACTCGAATGGGAATTGTAATAGAATTGTCTATATTGTATTATACTATTTGTTTAAGGCAATAACTATAAAATTGATTTTAGGACTATTAATGGAACTTAATGTTTAGGTTGTGACAAATTTCACACAAGCGGTGCTTGTGCGATGATACGTGGGTTGATCTCAAAGTCGAGTATAATCGTATTACAAGCATGTTATGTTATGTACGAAATGTGTGTTAAATTAGCTCTTCCTTTTCAAGATTTTTGCACAGACTATTAAACATGACAGGCGCGACAGCTTTTATGCAAAGTATCAGTGACTCCTAGTTTGTGCAGTTTGCCACATCACAAAATAGCACACACTGATGAAAGTTTTAATCAGTATTTTCTATTAGACTTATACAGGGTGGTTTAAAAGTTCGGCGACGGTCAATTATCTCCAAAAATAGGTTTTATGAAAAAATATTAAATACAAAAATTGTAGTGATGGTGACCTTAACTTTGACCTAAAAGTCAAACTTAGAGGTCATTTCAAGGCCAACTTAATTTTTTTTATGGAACCCCCTATTTTTTATTACATATTCTTATAGCTTATCTCGAGAGATTTCCAGAACACTATGATAAAACATATTTTTATTAAGTACTTTTGAATTATAAAAGTTTGAAGTTAACAATTTTTTGACATAAAATGTAAAATATCTTGTAAAATATTCAGTTTTTGGTAATTATACCTTAATACTTTTATGTACTGAATAATGAGATCATTTGGTGTAAAGAAAACACAGTTACTTCAAAAAAGATGTATGTAATTTGTAACTTTTTTTAAAAGCACTTTATGTCAAAAAATTGTTAACTTGAAACCTTTATAATTCAAAAAGTACTTAATAAAAAAATATTGTTTTAATGTTTTGGAAAACTCTCGAGATAAACTACAAGAATATGCAATGCAAGAATGGGGGTTCCATTTAAAAATATTAAGTTGACCTTAAAATGATTACTAAATTTGCCCCCTAGGTCAAAGTCAAGGCCACCATCAAATGCCTTATTTTGAACCTTACAACTTGTATTGACCGTTGCTGAATCTTTGAACCATCCTGTATAATTTAAGGCTCCTGGATCTTTATCGCGGCCGTGTTAGATTATGACATCAGAGGCGAAAAAGTACACGCTGAAAATTCTTAAATGCCATTTTTAAATTGAAAAAATATTCCGTTGAAATATTACTTCAGATAACTTTAGCACTTTAATTATAAAAGGAAAATGGATAGTGTTCAAAGTATTTTAAAAGTGTGCTAAAGTACTGAAGTGTTACTTTATCGAAATATCTTTTCATTTTGGCATTTAAGAATTTTCAGCATGTGCTTTCTCGTCTCTAACGGCACAATTCAACATGGCCGCGGCGAGAATCCATAAACCTTAAACTTAAACAACTTGATCCTTTAATGTCGTATCCTTTTCTCTTATATTTATGTTATTTTTTACATTACATGCTAATAGCACTTGATGGAAAAAATCACAATGCATCTTTTGCATCTATTGTATGCTTATGCAGCACTAGAAATAGATTTTACACACATTCCTTATAAACATAATTTTTTACATGTAAAATATTACAATAATTGAAAAAAAGATAAAAATTCTTGAATTATGTCTTTTTATATAGATACAATATAATTATTGTACATCACCGAAGATAATTTAGCTAATATTATTTATCTACAGATCATGTGACTCGTCTCGTTTTTGCACAAACTATTTATTTTAATATATAAACATATGACGAGAAAGGCCTCAACATGATAGGAGCAGATTATACATAGTTTGTCATTCAAAGGCAATGGTAGACGTCAATATTATGAATAAATGAAATTGTATTATTAATGATTAATTGAAAACCAATAGTATTCTTAAATTTATGCGTGTTATGATCGGAGTCATTGATGTTATAAAACGAAGAGATAAAAAATTTATGATAGAATAGAGCTTTGTATATATTTTGCTTCTATTTTATAGAAAAAAATATCAAAATCTTTTAGGAAAATATATCTACAATATTTTATCACAGTGGCATTGATTTGTAATTATTTAGATGATTTAAACTATGCAGTTTAATACTTATATTATTATCATTAACATAGTAATGTATGTACACGAAAAATCGAATTTAAAAGTAATTTATAGGAAATGACTTAAAGTTATTACAGTTTTAAAATCGATTAGTCTTCATTAAAGCCAAAGAAGGATTAACGATACAAATTAGTCGGAAAATAAATTTCTATAGACATCCGCGTATAATGTGCAAGTCGCACTTCTATTTAGGATCCTTCATTTTTTTCTTCATAAATTTTCATATTTGCACTCTCTTTCATGATTATGTATCTTTTGAAAATAATATATTTAGTTTGCAGTTATATTTATTTGATAATATTAATACACGCGCGATATTTTGTGGATATAAAAATTTAATAAATATGTATTTAATACATATTTAATTGTAACTCCTAATTTATGTACATGTGCTAGATAAAAAAAATTATTAGAATTAAAATTTCCGTCGATATGTAAAAATACTATGGTTACAATCAAATGTAAATGCAAAATTACATGCGTTTTCTAGAATCTAGTTGTCAGTAAAATATTAGAATAAAGTAAAGAATGTGAACAGATATAAACAATACACATACATACACACACAATCCTTTGTAGTTTCAATTTCCTTAGAATTACTTATAAAATTGCTCTATGCTGAAGTAAATATACACAATTGTATTATAAATACAAAGCAGAGAAGCAGGAAGATTATAATGTTAAGAATTAATAAAGTTTAGAATAAGTCTTGACTCTGTCGCGAGTTAAGTAATTGTATATGTATGATGAATGCATTAATAAAAAATAATTATTTTTAAGATAAATGAAGATATTATCTAAAAGCTCACATTTTTAAAAGATAAAATGTTAAACAATTGACTGATAATCAATTAAACATAAACTGAAATTATAGAAAATGATACTATTATTTGAAAATCAAACTTTTTATTTTAATGTAGAATGATAATAAAAATCATCAAAATTTCCTTTTTCTTTGTACAGGGGGGAAAAATAGAAATAAACATGGATTTGATAGCAAGTGTTGTATATACAATTCAATACATATACATATTTATATATATAAGTTTCGTCCGTCTTGAGTTGTTCCACTTTGTTGCATTGATTCGATTGCTTTATTGACTATCATTTCTGATGTTTCTTCTGTTATCTAAAAAAAAAAAAAAAATCAGAATCTGACAAAATGCAAATTTTGTGCTTTATTAAATAGCATTGTAATTTTTGGTAATCTTACATTATTAATAGTGTCCAACACATTATCTGTATTCTCGCATCTTAAGAGTAGCCGTCTTAAAGTGGTTAATGTAACCACAGCGACAAATACTAAAATTCGATACGCGCTGACCGTTATTTTATCCCATATCCTATAATAAAAAAATATTTTTAGTACGAGTATCGTGCGCTATATTGCCAGTATTAAAGTAATAAAATTACAGATAATTGCACAATGTGATAATTTATATATATACATACTTAGCGATAGATCCATTGCATATTACACCAGCAAAACATGAATAAAACCATGTGTCATATGGAAGATTATAAAACGCATCAATTTTAATAAGATGCTTATATAATTCTACATCCTCTCTTTCCAACAAAGAATATGTACACTCTTGTAATCTTCCCACTTCCTTTTGCAATTTCTCAACCTGTATAAAAAGTCCAGATAATATCCAATACATATCTACTAGTTTCTCTTGTTCCGATTCAACATCAATCACATGCCATAGTGTCTCAGCCATTTTACTCATAGCTCTGTAATATATAAAATATTATTAGGTGTTTGACTATCTAATGTCAATATTATTATTTAAAGTGCATCTGTAACAATTTTGCATCAAAATTTTGTATCAAAATTTTTTTCAACACTCAAAGCACCGTTGAACAGAAAAATCTATACATATAATTGCACGTAAAACTTTTAATAATAAAATTTTTAAATCAAAATAGAAACGTACATTTATATGTAATAATATAATATACAGAGTGTTTTCAGGTTAAATAGCCAAACTTAAAATACGAGAGAGAGAATTTAGGATCTCAAAACAAACAAATATTTTATCTGGAAGTTTGCTCGTAAACGCTTCCTTGAAGACGATGCTATTGACTTTTGAAATTTTGAACTATAGGAATGAATGTCGAAATGTCATTATTTTGAACAAAATACTTAATAATTACATTAAATTGATTACTGTAAAACAATAAAGAGGACAAATCTAAATTTCGATATTATTCATTCCTATAGTTCAAAATTTAAAATTCAATATCTCTTCAAGGAAGCATTTGCAAGCAAATTTCCAGATAAAATATTTGTTTATTTTGAGGTCCTAAATTCTCTCTCTCGTATTTTAATTTTGACTATTTAACCTAGAAACACCCTGTATATACGTAATATTAGATAACAATGCAATAAACCTGTGTAATGGTGATTCCAACTGAATAGTTATGTCAACTTTTACTCTTCTTGTACGTAACAACCACATTGCTAAGAATACCAGATGGGGCTTTGTACAATCATCTATGATCTTTGCAATTTTTAACGCTCTCTGTAAATCTTGAAATTCTATGGTACGTTGCGCCATAATAAATTCATGGCTCTCTACATAAACTGGTATAACGTCGAGCAACACCTTCCACAAGAAGTTTCTGTACATAGCAGGTACAGTGAATCGCAGACAAAATTGTTTCAGTTTCGTTTTATCAAATGGTCGTTCCTTTAATAATATCTCCAGAGATTTTTTCTCCTCAACGCTACGAAAGCCAACCTATAATTTTAGAAAAAATAATTAAAATAGTAATATAATAATACAAATAATAATATGATAATAATTAAGATAATAATATGATAATAATGAAAATACTCTTCTGTAAATATTATGAGGCATTTAAGGAGCAATTTTCTTACAAGTAGATAGTAGTTACTTCAATTTGGAAATCATTTGAATTTATCATTTATGAATATACATACCTTTTCGTAGTACGATGAACGAAAATTCCGCTCGTCCGTCATCATTCAAAAGCGAATCTCGTTGAAAATGGAAGAGAATAATGACAGAGTATTAGACTATAACCTATCCTACGTTTTGTCATCTGAGGATAGATTTAAAAAATAAGCTCCATATTTTTCGACTCAGGTCTTTAAGTTTTTCTATCTAAAGAGAAGAAATACCGATATAAATAAGAACGGGAAACAATCGGGGAACTGTCAAAAAAACAACCACTCACAATCAGTTGACAGCACGTTAAAGATCCTTGTAAAAAATAAAAATTAAAACAGAAATTTGACTCGATATTTGTCTTCTTTTGGCATGAATTAATTTTATTTTATATGAATTATATATTACAAATATCTTACATTATCATACCACAGGTTAATAGACAGATCGCCAAAAGCCTGTCTAAAGAGGAGACCGTCATTTTTGTCCCTTACCGACACACTTTGCCCCTGGTTCGAGTTTAGGCTAATAAAATCAGATAAAATCCTTTTGTGCAACCGGCGCGCGAAAAGTCGCTCTTTCCGCACATGATGGGATTTTAGAAAGGGCTCCCTTTCCACGCTCCCTTTCACACAAAATATCGTAGCCAACACGTGCGGGTCACAAATCGACCGATTTACGATCCCCGCACTTCTTAGTTAATATACTATTAGAGGCAAATTTTTTTGGTAAAATCACTGGTACTCGTTAGTGGTAAAATCAAAGGATTTTATTAGCCTGGACTCGAACCAGGGGCAAAGTGTGTCGGTAAGAGTAAAAATGACGGTCTCTTTAGACTTTAGCAGAGAGAAGGATGAGAGTGGTCATCCCTCGATTTAGCTGCAACCGGAATTCAAAGCGCCTCTATGTGCACAAAACGTGCACATTGAACTACGTAGCCATGTGCACGATGCTCCCGAGTGGTAACAGGCTATGTGCACGGTACGTGGTTCGATTCCGTGCTATGTGCACAGATGAGCGCCAGTAACACGTAGCTGTTAAGGAGATGAGTTCGAGACCTCGCAGGGCCATTTTTTTTTTTTTTTTTAGTACGACTATATTTGTCAATTTAATGAAATCCTTTTAATTATTGTGGAATAAAGAGATAAAATGCATTTCTCAAGCGTACGCGAGAAAATCGAAATCAAAAATAATGAGTGCCGTATAAATACGTATGGAATAGAGCGTTATATCGAAGAGCGTGTGGCGTAGCGTTAAGGGGATCCTAAATGATGTTTTACCGACCGAATGCGAGAATATTTATTTTTTTCATATAACTTTTTATTGACTATACTGATCAATAAATCCTTTCCACGATTAAAGTACTTATAAAAACGGACCGCGCTAGCTATATGTTTGCATATATAAATCATATAAAAATCAAAAATTACAGTTTTGTTATCGGCTGCTTTGTGTCAGTTCGTAATAATACTTATTTAATAAAAAAGTTTTGCAGTTTGTCTGTGCATGAAATATAGTATGCGCGGTAAGGATTATATGAAGAAATATTAGTAAGCAATTAAAAGTGAGATTGCAAGTCTAATAAAAAGTTATATATAAAAAAACATTTCACGCATATGTGTGTGTGCAAATCGAGGCTGCGGAATAAAACAGAGCAGTAGATTAGTTGCGTGATATCGTGATAGATGGAGCTGCAACGTGTTTCTCTCTCTCTCTCTTTCTTTTTTCTCTCGCTCTCTCTCTTTCTGTTTTTTATAAGGTCGGTTTTGGCTACACTGGCCACATTAGTTCAGAGGTTGTCTTTTTTGTTCGACATTGGAAGGAAAAAGATAACCTCTGAATTAGTGTGCCAATGTATGCCATTATATATTTTATGTTTGATAATATAAATAATACATCAATTTTTTCTATAAAAAACTATATATAAAACAGAAAAAATTTTGTGTTATTTATATTATCAAACACATGAAATATATAATGACATACAATTTTATTTTAATTATATTTGTATAATACAATAATATTCACATGATTTTTATAGATAATAAGTATATGCATTTATAATTTATAAAAACTAAATCTTATTTTCATACATCGAAGTAATTCGAGTAATGATTTTACTGAAATATATATTTGATAGACATTGTGATTCTAACGAATTTTATTTGTTCGCATATACCTGTAAATTGTTATAAAAATTACTTTTACTGTAAATGTAAGATAAATTGTATGCAATCTATATAAAACAAAAAGAGAGAGACAGAGAGAGAGAGAGGAGAGAGAGGAGAGAGAGAGAGAGAGCGAGCTTTTTTTACTTTCCCGAAAATAGAGACATTCAATGCAAACGGTGAATTGTATATCTCTTTACGACACGTACAGCCGGGAAAAATTTTTATATATAATTATATAAAATAATTGTATAATTATACATATAATTTTGCGATTATATATCTAAAATTATACAATTATTTTAATATAATTATATATAAAAAATTTTTTCCCGGGTTGTATGTGTCGTAAAGAAATATATGTATAATTGATCGTTTGCATTGAATGTCACTATTTTTGAAAAGTAAAAAAAGAGAGCTCTCTCTCTCTCTCTCTCTCTCTCTTTCTTGATCCTTTATGCTTATTGTTAGTATTCTATCAATATAATAGTAATCAATGCAATCAATCATATCGTTTTACGGCAACAGCCAGTTACTCGTTCACTCACTCATTCATTCTTTTAAAATATGTCCATTTTTATACATAATTATGTAAATTATATATAAAAAATAAGGGTGGCATATATAATCATGTCAAATTGTATATAAAACATATATATTTATATATATAAAGAAATATTATTATTACATATTATATATATATATATATATAAATTTATATAATTATATATAACAAGCACTTTTACTTAATTATGTATAGACATATTTCATAATATAATTCTGCGATTATACGTATACTTTTATATATTTCTATATTAATATTATATTATTATATACACAAATTTTGTCCCGGGGTATTTTAAACTTTTATTTCTTTTTCTTTCCCCATTCTGTCTGTCTTTACATGCATGTTATTATGTTGTATGTGTATCATGTATAATTGGATTTGTATGTATGTTGAGAAGATTGGAATAGATAAAATTTTATTACTTCATGTTTTTATATTATAAATGCAGCTTTTTGTAAATATCCGAAATAAATAATTTTTCTACAAATATTTTAAATTTATCAAAATATTTTTTACTGCACAATTAGACTAATATATTTTGCATTATTCTATCTTTATTAATTTTTTTCATAATAAAATGGATTTTATTGAACAAATAATAAATAGTAAATAGAGAAAATATAAAATATCGAAAAGAATATATTCATATAACATATATTTGTGAAATCGAAATTTTGTTAAAATTGACTTTCATAGAAATTGTATTTTATAAATTTAATTAAAAAGCTGCATTTATCAGATAGAAACATAAAGTAATAAAATAATATATTCCAATCTGCTCAACACACACAAACACACAACACACACACACACAACACGCCAACACAACTTCTTATAACAAATTTATATAAATTATACATATACAGGATGAACAACGATCATATATCAGGAGTTTTTAGAAGAAAATACGTATTTTATTGAAAAATGTTTTATTACCAAAGTTATAAGGGTTACTTATCATTACATAGTAGTATTAGTATTTGTTGAATAGCATTATCAAAGTCACATAAAGATTATTTGGAAACCCTCATTTTTATTGCATGTACATACATGGCTTACTTTGAGAGCTTTTCTAAATAAATTTTTCATTCTGTGCATGCAATAAAAATGAGGGTTTCCATTATTCCAAATAATCTTATGTTGACTTTGATAATGCTATTCAACATAATACTAATACTACTATGTAATGATAAGTAACCCTTATAACTTTGGTAATAAAACATTTTTTCAATAAAATACGTTTCTTCTAAAAACTCCTGATATATGATCGTTTTGTTACATCCTGTATATGTATAATTTATATAACATTGTATTTAAGAAGTTGTGGTGCGTGTGTGTGTGTGTGTGTGTTGTGTGTGTGTTGAGAAGATTGGAATATATTATTTTTTATTA